AATAGGCAAGACAGTGGTTTGCAGAGATGCTTAGGTCACTAAAATCTTTTCTAGTAACAGATCAACACAGAGTTATTCTACTCAGAAAAAGAGAGCGATCTGGCAGTCTTATCTACTCCTTCCTTCTTCTCTCTTCTGACACATCTCATGGAATGTGATTTGAAAACTACTGGGACAATTACTGCTTCAGAAGGAGGCAGTGATAATCTTTCTGGGGTGATAATTAAATTGAGATCCAGGAGGAGCCAGAAGGCCATCTGGGCATGAAAATAGCAAGTGCAAAGTCCCTGAGGTAAAACATGCTTAGTGAGTATGTGACACAGAATGCTCTCTAGTGTGGCTGGAGTTTAGTAAATGTGGGGGTCAAGATGGGAAACTCACTCTGATAAGTATGTGGAAGCTACTTAGGTAAGGCCATGGGGGTAAGATACCAGAGTTTGGGTTGTATTTATTGGAAGTTATTGAATGAAAAGAATCATCAACTGATTAAGGTTTTAATATACCACTGGTTATTGTATGGGGCAAAAGTAGAAGACAGGATGCCAGTGATGTTATAGTGGTTCAGGTGAGAAATGGAGAAAACTGGACGTGGACAGTAGCAATCAACAGTTCTCAGTTCAGGTGCAGGGAAGGGAGTGTAGCACAGTCTCATCTCAGGCACTGAATTTCTAGGACAGTAGGGCACTGCCCAGGTGAGGACCCCGTCCTGTTTATTTCTTGTCACTATCCTGTTCTTCTGTCAATCCTACTTCCATGGGCAGCCCTCTCACATCCAGCATGGTTGTCTGCATCAGAGTTACTCTTACCATCTTATTCCTCCTTTTCCCAGCAGTACTAGACCTGGTAAGTCTAAAACCATCTACCCCAGCTCCCTGACTTCACAGATGAGAGGTCCAGAGCTTTCTTCCTCCCTAGTCTGGTGCCATTTCCACTTCATCCTTAACTTTCCCTTTATGCATGTCTCTATCCCTACTAGATCATGCGCTCTTTTTATTTTCAATTTAATTAAAGATACTTAAGGGCAGGAATAATATCTGACTCTCCCTTGTATTGTACTAACGTCTAGCACAGTGCTTGGTCCATAGAACCAAGCAGACATAACTGCTGTTCATCTATTCTGTGTTTTACGGGGCCCACTACCACAGGAACCACCCCCCACCCTGTCACAGATAACCTGTCCCTCTACTCCAGACTGACCCTGCTTATTACAGCCATCACTGCTGCCAGGCAAGAGCGACACTTGAGACTATTACAGCCAGTGTTCCCAGTACAGAGATCCTTGTTCTCCAGCAGAAGGGCTTCGGAGTTGAATTATTTTCAGTTGCTTGAAACACAATAAGCCTAGTTAGTATGGGTATGATTGGAATTAGGCCCAAACCCATAAACCCATGTCGGGGGGTGGGGGAGGTTCTACTAAGAAGGTGTGATTACAGATTACACATTATTACTATTGCCTTTCTTGAACCTCACTAAATGGTTATGAGAAACATGATGACAAAGTCTAAAGACTTAGCCTTGGAGGCCATGGCCTGTGGCTTCATATTTCCCATAGAGAGGGCTAAATACGGACTTTTCTGAACAGAAGCCCCCTTGTGTATGTCAGTTGCTCTTGCCAGCCCTGTGCTATTTACCCAAAGGTCAGCTTCACTTTTAGTGAATAAGGGAGGCTGAATCCTGTGATGGATATTGTTGTCCTTTCATTGACACATATTTTCCCAAAACAGGCATTTAAAATCTGTATTTTATTCCTCAAAGGCCTTCACTTAACTCCAGCAAGTGGCTGGGGAAAGTTCTGGCACCCTGAACTCCCCAGTTTGCTACCAGTCTACAGGTAGAATTATATACATCACATCAGAGAAATCGGTCATGCAGGGCTTGCCCCACCTTGTTTATCCTTTTCTCCAGCTGTCCAGGACAGGATTGCTATTCATCAAAGCACATAATTGATTCAACCATCAGAATACTGTGCTTAGGCAGAGAGGCAACACGTTGTTCATTTGGCTCAGTTTTTGAGAATTTATCTGCCTGCATATGTCCATTTCTAATTATTAAGATATATTTTCCAATTTGAATTTATAATCAGAGAAGTACATAAAAATATAAATCCTTCTTCATAACAGAAAAGAGCAGCATATGTAGAAACAAACACAGCTTGTTCCAACTGTACCATCTTCGTGGAAGAGAGCTTCCTAGTAGATTTCATAGATGCCCACTGAAAAGGTCATTTTAAGTGAGACCAATAAGATTTTCCTGTCTGTGGGGATATTGGCAAGAGTAATTGGGGGAATGTGTGAGACAGGGTCTCACTGTGTAGTTCAGACTATCTTTGAACTCACTATGTAGCCCAGGATGGCCTCAACTCACAGCTATCATCCTGTCTTACCCTCTGAAGTGCTACCTTGTACGGATTATGACAAGAGGAATTTTTCAAAGGTTCCAAAATCACAGAAGAATTGGCAGAAAGATGCCTGTGTTAGACAGCTTTCCATCTATGCGACTAAATACTTGAGAAAGCCAGTTTAAGGGAGGAAAGATTTATTTTGGCTCATAACTTCGGAGGTTTCAGTCCATGGTCTGGCTCTATTGCTTTGCGCAGGGTGAAGCAAAACATCATTGTAGTGAGTGTGTGTGGAGGAGGAGGTTGCTCACCTCATAGGTGCCAGGAAATGAAGAGGGGAAAATCTAGAGAAAAAGAGGCCAGGGATAAGATATACCCTGAAAGTTACTCCCTTAGTGCCCCACTTTATCCAATTAATCTCCACCTCCCAATAGGCCAGTTAGCTATGAATTCATCAATGGGTTCATCCACTGGTGAAGTTAGAGACCTCAAGGTTCTATCACTTTCCAACCTCTCCCACCTCCAAACACTGCTACATTAGGGACTCCCTAATATGAGCCTTGGGCAGCATATATCCACACCATAATGATGTCCCTGTTAACTCTTAACGTAACAAAATGTATGTTATAAAGAAGTTGAGTCATTCCCAATTGGTAATTAGCTCCACATGGAGATAATCCCTCCACTTATCTCTCCACTCACAATTTGTCACCCATACCCATTGTGTCTTGCTCAACCTGCCAGCAGAGTATGCCACCAATTATGTACATCAAGCTCACCAACACAGGTACCTTGAGAAGACCACCACTGTTTTGAGGTGGAGCCTTTCTTGCAAAGCTAACCTTTGGACTCAATAAAGAGAACAGTACTACTATTGAAAAGTGGCCCTATTTTCCACAGCATTCTTCATAAATATACTTTCTATCAAGTCTTTGAGGGACCTCAGTCAGATCCAGGATCCAGAGCTTTAATGTGTAAGATGCTACCTCAGTCCATATCCCCAGCTCAGAACTTTTTATCCTGCTTCAGATTTGTGCTTTCCAGTGCTTCACTCCTCCCAAGGCAGCTCAAATTTAAACTTGTCACTGCTAATGACATCACATGTGCACATGAGCTATACACATGTGTGTGTGTATGTGCGTGCGTGCACACACACGCGCGTGCGCACACACACACACACACACACACACACACACACACACACGTTTGGCCCTACATCTAAATGTTAGGAATGGTATCATAGCCACTCAACGATAGCTTCCTTGGCCAGTAACTGGAGGTATCATGGCAGTGTGTGAGCCTCGAATAGGCCAGCTTATCTTTGTCCAATTTGGGTTATTTGAAACTGCCAAGACATACTTTCCTTTTGTCCTGCCACCTCTGCTCAGTTGTTGTCTCCTTGTTTGTGCCCAGAAGTCACTCCTCTTCTTTCTCCCTGCTGCAAAGCACCCCTCTGCCCTGACACAGGATTCCAGCATCCTGCTCCACAGCAATCATCTGAAAAACTCTCAAAAACAAAAGATTTCCATGCTCTCCCTAAGGCACGCTGATTCTAAAAGTCTGGGCTAAGACCTGTTCCACAGTCATAACTATCAGAGAATTCAGTTTGAGCCCCAGGGTGGAATGTGGGGCAACCTGGATGCTTTGTAACTTCTGCAAGATTGAGACCTCTGTTCTCACAAGTGATGTTGGTGCCATGTGTACATATGTGCATCACTGCTGTAGCCACACACGCATGCATTCACATACATGTGCACATACTTCAGATGCATATAGATGCAATGCATACCCATAAACACACAGACATGGGGCATATTTTAGTTATATAATGTCTGTGTCCAGCTAACCCCTGACAGTACTTTCAGTTGTCACATTATCATTCTAAAAATGATCATTCACTAAGCCATTATAATCTTCAGGCTCTGGGCCCACCTTACCAGAACCTCATACCTCCTGCTGATGAATGCGGTCACCTCCCAGCTGTTCCCCTACCTCCGAACTGTCCCCTATACTTGTGCCTTAATGGCCTTTGGAAATGCAGATCACAAAGGATTTCAGAGAGTTAGCTTCCCAGGGAGAATACTTTGGGAAGTGTTGTCTTACAGGAAACAGGAAAAGATATCCAGGAGTTGGAAATCTGAGAAGACGAACTGAGAAGGAACATTTTCTCTTGGTAGTCAAAGAGTCATTGGTGAATAGATGACAGGGTACTTAACATTGTACAAGATGTTCTATATAAGAAAGGAAAAAAAGATATATTTCCCATTAAAGAAGTGAGATCTTTTCTGTCTCCAAAGAAAGACAGTGAGTTCAAAATGGTTTAGAGAAAGGAACCAAATGATCTCCTGCCTCACTCCACCCTGCAGGAAATGCTAATGAGGCATTTATTTGGTATATTTTCCCTAATAAGAGACTCGCTGATCTTTCAAAGACTGGCAATTATTAGAGAATAAGGAAATGAAGATCATTTAGTAGTATTCTTCTTCCTGTGTGTCCCTTTCAGATGGCACCCTTGGTTATAGCCTGTTCTTACCTGGATCTCCTCACTTCTCCTACTCAAGAAAATTGAAAATGTAATAATCCTAACTTCTTTCTTTCTCTCTCCTTCTCCTTTTCCCTATCCTCCTCCATTTCCCTCCCCATATTTGTTTTTCTTCTCCAGGAACCTTCTGCATCATTTCACTGTGCACCTGTGTGGCTGGGATCAACTTTGAGCTGTCACGCTACCCACGCTACCTGTATGGACTCCCTGACGACATCAGCCATGGCTATGGATGGTCCATGTTCTGTGCATGGGGGGGCCTGGGCCTCACACTCATCTCGGGATTCTTCTGTACCTTGGCCCCCTCTGTCCAACCTGTCCCGAGGACCAACTGCCCTAAATCCAGACCCGAGAATGGGACAGTGTGCTAAAATACAAACCCATACATTTATATATATATAAATATATATATATATATAATATACATATATAAAACAAAACTAAATCAAGACGATGTCAGTGCCAAGGTAGAGTTGAGTTGGCTCAGGCACCTACATCTCACCGGACTTTGTGTTGTTTCATCACCAAGATGGGGACAGTGTTCCCATACTGTGGCTCTTCCATCAATTCTTGACTTTGGCTTCATGGTTTCTTGAAGACACGGTGAACATCACCACTTGGGATAGCACCTTGATCCCCGTCACTCATGCGGATGTGGTGGTGAGCTGGAAGGGACAGTGGCAGTGGTCTGAAGCAACCCAGGTGTAGAGAAGGATATGCCATGGCCCGGGCCAACAAGCGAGGACACCACCCCCTCCCTCCTTCATCTCACAGGGAAACGCGGCCCCTAGTCCATAGAATGTAACCACGTCTCTGGGGCCATTTCAGAACCACTTCATTTTCTGCTCTTCCTGTTCTGAGATCCTTCCTGGCCCACCAGCAACACACACGGAATGGATGAGAAAACAAACAGAAAGCATGTTTTCTCTTTGTGGCCAAACTTTCGACAAAGTTTTAGAGGTGGGAAGGGGAGAGAACACGCTGAAAGGCACGACCCACTTCAAAAAAGGACACTTCGGTGGATGCTCAGAAAACCCCTTCTGGCCTTCCAGCTGCCTTACACCCAGTTAAACAAGAGGCCACCCTGTCCTCCCCACTGCACTCCCTCGGCAGATCGGAGCCTTGGAGTAATGCTGTGATGTGTGCGTGCGTGTGTGTGCTCTGCGTGTATCTTGGCTGGTTTCCTTTTTTCCTTTCCACTTTTTAAATAGAAATATTGCATTGTGACTGTTTATCACTGTAGTGGTTTCGGGGCCCAAAATGGAGGCCAGGAGACCTAAGAAGTATCACCCGGGGGCCAGGCCTCTGTGGGTGCCAACAATGCAGCTGCAGATCCTTGAAAGGGAAAAGGAGAGAGGGAGGAATGAACAAGTGAGTGTGAGTGAACGAATGCATGAATCAATGAGGTGGATGTTTTCTGAATGTGAGGTTTTATTGCTTGTGTTGTACTTTTTTTAAAATTATTTTTGGTACAGCTCAGATTCCCAGAGGGCAGAACCAAGAACAAAACCACTGGGCCAGAGGACCCTGTGGTTCTTCACACTGCAGTCTGGGATTCTGCAGGATTTAGTCCTCTTAATTGTGGAAGTTCAAGACACAGCTGGGCACAAAGGCCATGAGAGAAGAGGGGAACACACGGTTCAGGAGGGGCAAGGAATGTTGCCTCTGGCTGCTGTTGTATAAGTACATATACCAAACAAGACCTTCACTCCCCATCATGGGGCTGTCCTCTGTTACTAGACATCTACCCCTTTCCTAGGGGTGACCTCTGTATAAATGAAAGGAAATGAGTTACATGCAGAAAGCACCTGCATTTCCCATGGGCTCAAGTTTGTGTGTGTTGTGTAAATTTATGGAGAACTCTCGACTCTTTCCATCCTCCTCTCCTTCCTCTTGATATTCAAGGCCATGAATCCCAAAATAGCTGTCTTAGTGGCCAGCACCCAAACAGAGGCGGAATAAACCCACTCCAGTCTCGGGCCCACTTGAGCAAATTGGCATTACAAGTGCCAGCAAGTGAAGCCAGCCAGAGAGTTGTGAGTGCTATACGACTGGCACAGCCCACAATCACCCCCGAGGCCCAGCTGCTGCCAAGCAGCCCTGGGAGTGGGGAGGGAATCCAGTCTGGTGTAGCCATGGTGAGCCATGTAACAGAGCATCCAGTCGTTTCATAACAAATATGCTTTGGGAACTTTGCCAACTCAGCAGCCTTCCTTCCCCCATGTGCTCTTTCATCTACATGTTTTCCGGCCTATCTTCCTTCCAGTCTCTCCCAGTCACCTCCTTTACTCACCTACTAACCACTGACCTTCTCTTCTGTCCACCTGTGGTAAGTCCTGCCTGCCTCCTCTACTCTTTTGAATGGTGTATGTGTGCAATGCATAACCACATAGGACATTTGATGCTGACGAGTGGGTTTGGGTGGTTCTTTGTGCAAGAGTGTCTCTCTCTGTGCATTTTTATGTTTGTCTCAGTACATGCCTGCGCACAGGTGTGGGTACACTGCTCAAGACTTCCTCACCAGGGACCCTCGTGAGCTGCTGCAAAAGGTCTCAAGTATGAGTGTGGGTGTGCCAGGCATTGGGAGTGAGCTGGGTAGCAAGAAATGCTATTGGCTTCTCATTGAGGTTTCTAGGGGTTATTTTTAAAACAAAGCATTTATTCTATGAGAAGGGAAATTATTTGCAAGAAAACCCAGTTTTTCAATTGGGAATTTTAATTTTTTGTTCAAAGTTAGATTTCTCCCTTAAGGGGAAGGACATACTTGGGCGTGAGGAAAAGTGAAGAAAAGTATCTCAGATTGAGAGGCCTTGTGTCTTCCTTCCAAGTGTTTTGAAATAAGCAGGGACAGGCAGGTGTCCACAAGCATCCATTTGGATGAGGGGTATTTTCTATGACTAGGTGCAAATTCCAGTTGTTTTCCAGTTGCAGAAAAGTAGGGGAAATAATTCTAAAGGGGATGATTTGCTATCAACTATAACATAAGTAGCCACATTTCAAAATACTGCCTCTGAGACCCAACATTATGCCTTTTTAAAATTCCATGCTTACCATAAATAAATCATGTGCTCTATCAATCACTTACTTTTGTGACAGACCTTTGACAAAGCTTCCTGCACCTCTTTGTAACTTGAGCATCCCTGAAATGTTAGGAGATCGCCCAAGAAAAGTTGTAAACCATCTGGCTCAACTCAACATCAGAAGAGCCAGGCCAGAGTGGCTTTTTTTGGCAATGGGTTCAGATGAGTACAAATAAACACTCTGGGGTCTATTTCCTATTTGGGAACAAAAACCACTCCCAACCACATGGTCAGGGTGGAAGCCACTCTAGAGCTGGCAGGTCCTGGCCAATGGGAAAACTCGAAGATGACTTTGACCCTTCACGCATAGTGTTGTGACCACATAGTGTTGTGACCACAAAAACCATTCAAACAGCTCCTGAAGCTTTTTGGCTGTGAGATGGCTGAGAAAGAAGCAATGCACAAGCAAGAAAAGAGCCTTGACTTAGGAGGCTCTCTAGGTCAGACACTACTAACTTCAATCCAAGTACCTTCTAAGGGGAGTTAGTGGCCTCAGTAAGCCTCCCAGTTCCGATCTAGGTCAAGTGCAAAGTCCTTATAGTCTAGTGCATACAAGGTATATGGTGACGCATGTCTTGCAAGCTCCATGAAAATCCAACTCCTTCCCTCCCTAGTAAGTTAGAGATTTGAGAATGTGAATGTCTCCTGGAGAGAAATCCTATTTCTTTCTTCTTCCTTTGGAAGGAATGGTTTCTTTTCCTCTTTCCTTTTCCTCTCTCCCTATTCACTTCTATTTTCCTTCTTCATCAGCTTTTGTCAATTTGTTACTTCTTCTCTAGTGAGACTAGAGATAGACCCCAAGCAATCCGCTTGTTTGTTGTTGATATAGGTTTCGTGAGGAGATCTGTAGTGCACTGACATCAAAATATAAAATGTAAAAACAAACAAAAAAACTGTGCCTCTTCCAACTACAACCCTCCACAAGCCTTAGCCTTTTAACAACTCTACCCTTTTGCCTCCAGATATCATGAAGGCACAAAGACTGGACAGCACCAGGTGGGGACCAGCCTTTCTTACCCTCATGCACCTGCACAGCACCTGGGGCCCTGGCACCATATTGGTGTAATCTCCCACTGTGGGTGAGTGGATCCACCTGGTTGTGGTGCCTTTCTTTCCATATTCTGTCTCAATAATGTCCACATTCATGCTAAGAGGCCTAATAGAAAAGTACCACCCATGTGTGGCTGGCCTGATTTCAAGGAGGATGTGCCAGTTGGATCTCCAAAGCCACCTACATGAGTCAAATTCAAAGTAATGGAAACAATACAGTACTCAGAGGCATTTAAAATGGACTATCTTTACCTGGCTTATGTCAGGAGTGTTAACTAATTTTCAAGTGTCTGTTGGAAGTGGTGGAGAAAAATACCCCTGGGTCATCTTTTGGTGTGGCTGTTGTGGGATACTTGGTTGCTTCCTGTAGTTTGAGTGAAGTTGCTTTTAATTGCCCCTCTGCTCCAGGGACTAAGCACCCCTGTGAACACATCTCACCCTTTCCAGGGAAATAGGATGAATCAGAGTGAGAGCTGATTTTATCACAGATAGAAATAACTGTTGCATACCAGCTGAACTGTCTTTGGTGCTGCCTTCCAGCTGGTGTGTGACAGAGGAAGGGGACAGATTTTTAAGCAGGCCCACAAAAGTTGAGGCATGCAAATGATTTTGATGTCTCAAAGTTGACTTCTGGGACTGTATGTGTCATCTTTTCATTGATGCTGCCATTGATGGTGCAAGCTGTTTTTGAAACATTATTCCTAGTTCTTACAATATGTTATTATTAGTTATTGGGTCTTTCTCCATGTAATACATGCACATTGTAGATTAGAAAAGTAAAATACAATGCAGAGTGGTCATAATTCTATTACTCCAAGGTATTATTGTTGTGCTCAATGATAATGGCCATAACTCCAAGTCCTACCTATTTGGTGGTCATCTTTGGGTTGACAGCTGAAGTTAGGAGGATTTTGAATGGCTCCAGAATCACACTGGCCTGTACAGAATTCTTGGCAGCAGGAGCACAGGCCTTTGAGCCCCCAAAGATAGCAACAAGGCCTTTGAAAACTCAGTGCCAGACTTAGAGTGCAGGTAGAACAGGGCTAAAAGATTCCTATTTGGGGGGAATTTCCTCTTTCTTTCTTCTACTTGCTCTTCTTTTTCCCAGGTACCACCTCAGTTTAATCATGGGTAAAAGAGCACTAAAGCCAGAGTAACTCACTAACCAAGCTATGCTTATACAATGTAGTTACTGTAAATTTCATTTCTGCTCTGCACTAAAATGACTTGGGACTCTGGGCACTGTGTCTTCTCCATACTTGAACTTCCTCATCTACAAAATGAGGATAGTGCTAACACTTTACCTCATGGTATATTAAAAGTGACAAAGAAATTGCAAAGTGATTTGCAAACATGAAGTGTCACATGAATTATGCACTGATCAAATTACCCCACAGCAGCAGAGCCCCCTCTAAAATAGAATTCTTTCCTCTGATTCTTTGCCTTGCTGCTGAAGGAAGAATGTGGAGAGAGGTCATCCTGGCTGCTGGTTATACACAGCCCTCTGAAGCACATGAGGGTTTTTTTTTCCCCTTCATTTGGGCTCTCCAGGGAAATTGGCTCCTTAGCTTACTTTATCCATTTCTGGACTTCTTTGTCCAAAGTGAGTTTTGCAAAGGGCAGTCTCATCCTTCTGGACTATCCCCTGAAGTGAAGGAATGAGAAAACCATATAAAGCACAGGTGAGCTGGAACAGTTGATCTTTAACCGAGGCATGTGGTTAGTACCTTGTTTTTTTTTTTTTTTTTAATAGTTACGCTGATATTATTTCTAGCTACATGCCTGAGTGGTGGCAGTGAATCAGATTCCAAAAGGTTTCAATGAGGTTTCAAGTTTAGGGTGGGCAAAGCCAATGACTTTATCAGATGCCTGTGGGTTTTTATAAAAGGCCCCTGGATGGTTTATTCACCAAGACATGTTCCAAGTATGGTCTTGTTAAGAAAAAACAGAATCCTAGACTCAAAATAAAAGAATGCACTTCTCAAAGGTTCCCTGCACTTTCTGCTTTGCAGTGAATCAAGTATCAATGTTGTGTTGAGACTTTCCACAAGGGGAGTCCAAGTCATTGTTCACTTTATAATAACTGCCCAGCCAGTAATGGGGGAAATGGCCAACCGCATAGGTGTTCAGTTTCAGTAACCAGAACACTGGCCCTCAATCTGGGAGTTGCCCAGTGATGGCTCAGCCTGGCATCTCTTTGACAGATGCCAGCCTCATGCCCAAGGATTGACGTTGCTCCTTAGGGAACCCTGTGACTCCTCCTTCCCCTCTCCTGTACCTCAAGCTTCTGCTTTCCTCTCTGGGTGGCCCAGAGGCCCCCTCTCGTCTGTGTGTGTGCCAGTGTGTCTGTGTTGTGCGTGTGACTCAGCCTTCCATGCAGAGAGCTTTCGCAGACTCACCCTTTCAGCTTTCCCACCTCCACCCACGTGTGACTGTTTTGCTATTCAAGACTATCTGTAAAAATGTACAAATAAAAATGGAACCTGAAAATAAAGGGGAGGGGTATTGTGACTACTCAGATGCAATGATGTAGCCCTCAGTTTTCTGAGGAGGTAAGTGGACTGCCTTAGAGTCTTGGGTCTGGTGGCACTAGGAGGGAGAGATACCTTCACACAAGAGACTTCTGATTGCTCCTGAGTCATTAGTGTCTGCTTAGAACTCTCTGTTCTGAAGGGGGTTGCCTTTAAAGAAAAATATATCTCCCCAAAAGCAAGAGCAGTATCATCCAGTTCAGCAGGGTGAAGGTCAGCAGAGGTTGACACCCAGATCCCACCTCGGGGTAACACTAGACACTTTGTCACCGGCTCACTTGGGGCCTCAGGTGAGTCCTGTTACCTCATAGTGTCTCCATATCCTCTCAGCCTAATGAGGGATAGGGGTCTTTGGGGACTCCCAGACACCGTGTCTCCAGGTCCATTCTGCTGCTGTTTTCAGAGACTTTGTGCCCATGCTGGTTGTTGTATGCTAACTGCCTCGAGGTGTATCCAGAGAGTTTTTCCCCCTGCCACTCTTGCCCTGCATTTTTACACCTTGGAAAGTAACCTCAAGAGAACAGCAGTTTGTGTTCAGAGTCCAAAGCCTTTTATTGACCTTTTCATTCTCAGATGCCTTTTCCTACCCATTTTGATGATCTCATTGTCTTTACTGACAGAGCTTTCTGTGCTGGGCTGAGGAGGAGAAAGAGCATCAAAGGGGATGATGGGTATAAGTTACCTTGTAATCTATGACTCGATCTACAAATAGGACTCTCTCCATGTCAGAATTAGGGAGTCTGGCTAAGGGATATTCCCAGGTGGGAGCGAATGAGTGTTGGTGGTGGAGGGTTGGAGGCCATGGACTCCTGCAGGTTGGAGATGGAGGTTAGATGCAGGGACTTTCCCAATAGAGAAGTGTCTGCTTAATGATTCAGAAGCAGAATCACCATAATGTCTTCAATATAGTGACAGGGAAGGACCTCCAAGGCTAAGAAGAAGCAGGAATGAGCAGGGATGGACAATCCCCCAGTACAAAGGGCTGCCTGCCCCCAGGAGCACCCCAAGCTCACTTGGTGCCAGCACCCTTTCCAACCCATGGTTATAGGCACCTTCAGTCTAAACCTTCATCTTCTCTGATGGTCCATGGTGATCATCTCTGGAACCAGAAAGTGATTTCCACCACCACTGACCAATAGAAGTATAATACAAGCTATGTATCCTAATAGCTACATTTTCAAAAGTTGAATGAGACAGGTTAAATGAATTTCCATACTATATTTTAACCCAACATATCAGAAATATTTCAACATGCAATCAACATAAAAAATATACTGGAATATTTTATGTTCTTTTTAATTTTTTTCAAATGAACCCTTCTAACTCCAATGTTAATTTTATTCTGAGATAATGTCTCAACTTAGACCATCCACATCTCCCACAGGTGGCTTCTGGCTACTGCCTAGACAGTGCAGATTTTGTGTCTTTATTAGGCAGCAAGGTAGGGTGGCCCTTACTGGTGAGTCACTCATGTCATAGGTGTCACTGTAGCTGACAGACGTAGGAGGTGGATCAGCTGAGAGGAGGAAGCACACAGCTGTGTCCAGGCTGCTATCTCGCTTTATGTAAGGGGAGATGCGGCTGCTGTGAACTTGGTATCACATCAGCCCCAGAGGGTGCCAGCATGATCCCTGGGTGACCTTGATGACAGTCCAAGTCCTAGAGGGAAAAATAGATCATGTTCTTCAGTTGTAGGAGCATCAGCCATCACCTTCTCTTATTCAGATGTCTTTTGTCTCAGAGAGGCCTTCTCTCTGGGAAGTGTAAAACACTCCACAACCTTCTGAACCTGGTGAGGTCACCAGCTAAGAACGTCTTCCCAGTATTTGGGGCTGTTTTCTCCATCTCTCAGTTCCCTTACATTTTTGTCTGAAAATCAAATGCTAAAACAGGACAAACACTGGGAAGAGACAGCCACAAGCTGATGGGAAATAAAGTCTCCTAGGAAGTAGCAGTGACAAGTTCTATCCTTGCTCTGTGACTTAGGCCACCGTTGCCCACCTTTTCTTTCTGCTTGGAGACCTTTCTTAGGTTTGAAGAAGCTCTTGTTCAGGAAAAAAAAGACAAATAATGAGACCTTAGCATAGAGAACAGAATAAAATATGAGCTATCAACACCTGGGCATTCTCATAGCTTTTCAAAATATGTGACAAGGTTTGATTCATTTAAAATATAATGTCCTGAGCCCTGTGTTACCAGGCAAAAGAAAATAAGCCAATTGGTTGGGTGTGTTTTATATATGATGGTTAGACAGGGGCCATCACTGACAAAGCTCTCAAAACAGCTGGAGTGTTTATGGTCCACCAGATTATTGCTTGGTCAATATAAATTTATTTACCTTTAATTTGCATAGTGCTTTCTGATTGGTTAAACAGGGAGTGGCGTATACTACAGAATTCAAAAAATGACTCTCCCCTTGAAGGTAGCAATTCCTGTGGTTATTGGTGCTAAAATAAGATTAAATATTATGTTAATTTGTTCTGATACGATGTGAATAAATGTATTGTTTAATCTTAACAGAATGCTACATCTTATCAGATCTATTGTACTGTCTGTTCCTTCTCATAATTAATTAATTAATTACAGGAAAGGTGATCCAAACCAGATCTTGAAACTCTTGTGATATTCAGAGAGCAAGTTAGCAGGGATGTGGGAGGGGGGAATGAAAAGGGAAATTGCCAGGTTCCTGTGACTTTAAAAGGACTGAGGAAGCAGAGAGCATTTGGGGACTTCACTGAAACTGACTGCATCTTGCAATTTTCTTTTTCAAATTGGCAGAAATACTGTATTTCCATCGATTGAAGAAAAAAGTGGTAATTAATTAAATGACTTGTTCATGGAAAAAATAAAAATAAATAATCTGTCAGTTGTGGAATGTAAACTGATTAAAACAATTAAATAAAGAAGATCATGTTGTGTGTTTTAAACAATTGTGTCTTCTGTCTGCTTGAGGGTTATGGGGAGTGGGCTGTGCAGAGATTGCAGTATTTGACAGAGAACAATATTGTTCCCTCGGGTTTGTATACAAATAGTACAGTGCTTACAGAGACAGCTAACTGAAAACTCTTAATTCAGAAGGAAATTGACAATAAATGCCTTGAGATGAGTGAGGGTGGGAAAAAGAGATTCTCAAGAGAAAAAAAGAGAAACTTGTTCTTTTTCTGCTGTTACTTTTAAAAGGTTTCACTACATGCTAGAACCACTAGTTCCATTCTAGCTCCCCAGCCTATTTTCTAGCTATCTGTCTTCATCATCTCTTCCCCTAACTTAGAGTTACAGCTCCTTTCTACCCATCTACATTTTAAGTGTCCTGTGTAGGAAAGCTGGGGGGAAATGGAAGTTAATTGGAGGAAAGTGCCTTTTAACTGGTCTTGTTTCTCAATCAGCATCTCTAAGTTTAATTGAAAAAAACTGGTTCTATATGATGTTAAGGGAAAAATAATTTCTAGAAAGAGCATGAGATCTGGAAGCTTGTTGTATAGGTAGGAAGAAACAGGCAGCCAGAATTACTTCCTGGTGCCACCTAGACCCCTGGGTCTGTTGCTTTCTGGACACCAGGGTGTGCCTGGCTGCCGCCTCCACCCTGAGATGCATGTGGCTTTCTCTGCCACTCCCACCAGAATGCATCCCTGCTTTTCTCAGGCAGCAGCTCCTGTGTCAGAACCTCAGGTGGGTGCTCTATTGAAGGAGGCCAGGGAAACAGATGTAGAAACTTTTTAGCTTTTCTATTGGGTACTGAGCTCTGCCTCCCACCAGACTCAGACAGCTAACAATTCCCCAAACATATATGATAGGCAGAGAAAGAGGGAACACTGTCTCTTGGAGGTGGGATACCAAAGGGAAAAGAAGGCATCCTGCAGGAGTACATTGGAAGAATGGCCAGGTGGGCTGGGGATTTAGCTCAGTGGCATAAGCGCCTGCCTTGCAAGCAGGCAGTTGTGAATTCGATCCCCGGTACCAATAAAAAAGAAAAAGACAAAAAAAAGAATGGCCAGATGGATATGACACAAATTACGGTCTTCAAGGTACTATCACGACTGGTAGCATTTGTGGGAAGAAATACACAATATAGGGCATTGTACACAGAGACCCACCTGTGTGAATCTAGTCTGACAAACAATGTAATCAGTGAAATTTAGAAAATGAGGAGGCATCTTGGGAGTAATGGTAGTAAACAGTAAATCATGTCAAAAGTAAGTGCAGATCAAAGGTAGGCGCTACACAGAATAGACCGAGAAAAGTTGTGAGTAGAGATGAATATGAGGAAATGGAAGACCAGCGTCCTAACCTCCACCTACCCACGTCTGTCTGAGTAGCAGTATCACCTGGAAGTGAACAAGAACGGAAACACTGCCTAAGTGTCCAAGACCTTCCAGCTTTAGTACCTTCAAGAGGAAGTGGGTGGAATTAAAGAGCCCTGCCTTGCTGGTTGGAAGTGAAGAGATGGGGAGATCTGACCTGAATGTAGGCAGAGTCATAGCAGCTTGTCTGAGGCAAAATACCCCATGGCCTGTTGACAGCCTGGGCTAAGCCACAAAGTGACAGTCTGTTTTTCTTTCTCCAGTGAAATGCAACTCTCATTTCCTCACCTGTGATGAATTATGCAATCACTGGGTTTAGCAGAGAATTAGGTTTGTGGCCAACACACAGATGCTCCCTCATCCCAAGCCCAGTGCCTCTAAGCACAAATATCCCTACAGTGAGAACTATAAGATAATTGTTCTTGATGAGGGTGTCTTCCTTTACCTGGCTTCCCTGGTAAGAAAGGCAGCTCCAACATCTATAACCAAGTCCCCAGAATACTCAGGGTGGCCCTTGGAAGGGGACTTCAGGAATTCCTGCCCAGAACACCCACCTGGGGTTCTGTGCCCTACCTGAAGCCACAGGGTACCATGCTATGTTTTGTGGCATTTAGCACTTGCAGATAAAACCTTTGTTTTCCTTGGGATCTCCTCAGGAATAAATTATCTTGAAGATTAGGAAGTCTGAGGTACTCATCTTTGTACGCTGATGACTAGCAATGTTTAGTGTGTAGTTAAGAGCTCAATAAATACTGATCAAAACCAAAGCAATAGCCCTCCATCGAATCCTCCCATTGGGGCTTAATGGCTGGTACTAAATTCCTTAAATGTGGGGCATCCTCAGATCACCATCAGCTTCAGTGATTTGCTTGAAGAACAACTGCAGAAGAGCTGTTATACTCAGGATTCTGTTTTACGACACTGAAAGGATTAGTGAAGGTTCACAGGACACAAGAGGGACCAAGGGCACAGTTCCATTGTTCTGTCCTGTGGGTTTGTGCCACAGCACTGAATTCTCCCAGCAAGGTTTTGGGGCGACATGTACAAAGTACTGGCAATTGGAAAGCCCATATAATCCTGGGTACCTGGTGATACTGGAATACTTGGTCATTTGGACATGGAATGCCCATGTGGCTGACTTTAGTTACTTAGTCTTCCAGCCCTGCCAAAGGTCAAACTGAGACCCCACAACCACACTGTTGGCATGAACTGTCCAGCATGCTCAGGGAAGCCAGGTAAAGGAAGACACCCTCATCAAGCAGAGATATCCCTGGGTTTACGATTGTCTTCCAGGAACCAGTCAAGTGTCAGACTTTTTCCTGGAATGTGCAAGGTTTGGTCATCCCAGCCCACCAAGTCAACCTTTACTGCACACTAAGCTACAAGATGGATTAGAACAGTGGGCATGGTAATGCACACCTGTGATCCCAGCACTCAAGAGGCTGAGGCAGGAGGATCACGGATTTGGAGGCAAACATGGGCTACTCAGTGAGTTCAAGGCCAACCTGAACTGCATAGTAAGATCCTGTCTCAAAAATAAGAATAAAAATAAAAATAGGTTAGAACCAGCACATTTCTTGTCCAGATTAAAGTTCCTTTGTAGGTATCCAAAAATTCTCTTCCTTCTGATCCTCTACAGATAAGCCTGGCCAAGCTGTCTGCACAGGTCAGTGGTCTTATTCCTTTCTGCTTCTCCTCCAGCAGCTCCCTGCGCCCTTCGTGGGAGGTTGGGGTGGGGGTGGACTCAGGCACTTGAGTCTCAAAGCAGATCTGGACTTGATTCATGTACACAAGTTGCATCCCTTGGCATCCTCACTCCGTGTCCTTGTAAAATGGGTCTTCCTACACCTGCCTCAGACTACTTTAAAATGGAAGAGTCAACAAATATGACAGGATGCCTGGCCCAGAACTGTCACAGGGCCTGTTAGCCTCCCTTCACCTCCTCTGTCTGCCCTTATGCTTTATGAAGAAAATTTTCCATTTTATCTAAGAAGAGTGTCTGAAACCTACCGATTGTTCAGCGTGCCACAGGGACCCAACTCACTTGCCGTAGCAAAAGCTGATGTACAGTTGAAGTGTGCATAAACTAAAGGCAAGCATGTTCATTGTAATCAACTATCCTACCCAGGCACACAGTTGTGTGTAATAAAATCACGCTTTGAAGTGTTTTAATTGAGGAGAGGATGAGACCAGAGCTCCGCTTTACAGAACTCTTCCTTTCCCAGAAGTGAAGTGCTCCCGAACCTTGCCACTCCAGGGGTGGTTCTGGGATACCTGCCTTATCGTCAATGGGAACCTTGCTAAAAGAACAGCTCGCATGTCCAGCCTCAGAATCACTGTTTTCATATGACCTCAGACCATCCCCATTTCCACTGGTCTGACCCGTTTGCCTGTTCATTTCAACACTGCTGCTGGGATCTTTTACCTAGGATCAAGATATTAGTAGCCCTTCAAAGGACCATGAACACAGGTAGTTACAAATCCACCATCAGCCTAAGCATCACTTTTTTTTCTTTTACCTTTTTAAAATTTCTGGTTAACATGTATAAATTGTACATAATAATGGAGTTCAGTGTGACATTTCCATTCACGCACACAGCAGGTGCTGTTCAAATCTAACCTCTCTTTTATATATCCCTATCAGCCCACACCCTTCCCAATCTCCAGTAATTACTATCCACTTTCAGGTTGACTGCGTTAGGTATCAATGTTAACTAATAACCCTAGAAAGATCCTTTCTACTGGGCCTGAGCCTGGCTGTTAAGGTCGGCACCAGGGGAACAAGTAATTGGGCCAAGTAATTGGGTCTGGTTTCTTGCAACAAGCAGGTGTCAAGGATGCATCAACTCTACAGCCTCTGCCGCTAAGAAGATGTGCAGAACCTGTAGATTTTAGTCACATGAGACAGCAGACTTGGGTTGTTCTGGAAGAGGACTCTGCTTTTGCCTGTTCTTAAGAAAGCCCTGGAGTGCATCCCCAGTGGATCTGAAGGCTGAGGGATAAAACTCACTGCCCTTACATCACTTTGTGTTCTGGGGTATATAGTTTTTGATAATATATTTTGTGTCAAGCATGGTTCTGGGCCATGGAGATGGAGCAGTGAATAAAACACACAGAAATTTTTATTTTCTAGAAGAGGGAGGTTATGAAATAAGTAAAGCACACAGTGGTCAATATCGAGATAATCTAGTTAGAGAAAAATAAATCAGAAGAGAGTAGAGGTGAAAGGTGCTGTGATTCTCTATGAGTAAGAAGATGGCATTCCCATGATGGCCAGTGGAGGAGAGGGTGTGGGACTAATCTGCCTTCCAGTCATGGACACAGAGGACCCTGGATCTGACATTCAGATCATAAGGTAGAGGGAGAGGAATGGCGTGGGGAGTAACAGAGTCCATTTTAAATCAAGTATTGGATGTGACTGTATCCCCCTGTGCTGTTGCATAAACTGTGGGATTCGAAGTAGGGGTTTCCCCACACTATGGTGTTAATAAGCCACTATTTAGGGCGGGAGGGAGAGGAAAAAAAATAAGCCACTATTTAAATTTTCTCCCCATAGCTCAACTTGTTAGCAAGAATTGCATCTGCCACGAGTGTCGTAACATGGCGTTTCCTTTGGCTCACTTTAGCTC